GCGAATTCTGCACAATGAACACAGTCAAGCTCATTCACAATCTGACTCCCCTGAAGCACTCCTACCACACACAGATGACCACTAAGCCACAGACAGCAGAGCAGCGTGAAACTCAGTCTGTTTGGAAGGGAGAGGTGACACCGGGGCTCTTGAACCATGTGCGGCTGCCAGAATGAGGCGTTTCACACTCATTCTGGGTCATTAACTAAAACAGCCTCAACACTAAAGTTCATGCTCACATTCCAGCGGTCAGAGAAGATCCAATGCAGAGCATTTCCAAACATCCTATCTAATACAATTTTAGCCTTCTGATGACATACACCGTTTATCTCCACAATCACATATTTGTTTTGATGCAGATGATTTTCACTTCTACCAAACATCATAATAGCAGACAGCGACAATCAGCAATGTCCATAGTATACAATGTCATGTTTATTAGAAAGCTAGATTAGGAAACAAGCTAGAACAGAGAGGAAATGAAGAGAAGAGAAAGAATTTTTCATTTCATTTTTCATACTAAAACTTTCAGATAAAAAACATTTTTGAGTGACGACAAATGAATCAAGGGAATCGAATTTGAGTGACGACAAATTAATCGTATTATAAAGTGCAATAAGTTAACATTCTCATACTTGCAAGGCAGAAAACAAGGAAGGATGACAGAAATAGTTTAAGTGAATTCCTATATTAATGTTGTATTCACAATGTTGCTTAAATTTTGTAACCAACAAAATCCTCACAAATTTAGAATTCACAATACAGAAAAATCATAACCCAACCCAAATATGAAGTGAATTAACAAAAACTTCATAAAGTTGGATTTCACAAACTAATATCTTGCCATTCTAAGTTCAGCTCCTTTCTTTTCTCTGAGCTGTCAGATTGTCCTGATAATTAGACCTCTTGAGAGAGCACAGCTCTCGTTAGGATACAGAGGCAACCAGCAAATGTTTGTCACCTCCAGTGAGCATCTTTAAACACACCACCGTTTGCGGTGATTTGTGATCATGGTGGTCTCAGCCACTTTATTGTCTCTATGGCTTTGACCACCTCTGAAGCTCAGCTGCCAGTTGCAACAAACCCCTAATGTTAAGAAAACTCAATTATAACACCTCTACAATTGATTGGTTAACTTTATTTTTAGAGATTTATTGCAACTGGACACAGGCCTGTTAAAAGCAGGTGGGCATAAAAGCTCTCAATAGGGCCTTTCGCACCGCAGGAACATTTTCATAGTACCAGAACTAATTGTGGAACTACCTACTGTTTGAATGAACTGGGAGCGATTTTAGTACCGGACTGCCTTTTTCGAGAACCAAATTAGCTCCTACTCCGGAGCACGTCCCAGTACTTTAGTACTGTCCATTTAGTTCTGGAACTAAAGCAGTGCGAAAGGCCCTATTGCCTCAGGCACATCTGCACACTCTAGACTCTTCCTGTCTTTAATAGAAACCAAAAACACACTGTAGTATTACATGAGTCAAAAACAGCAATAATAATGTAGTCTTAATGCAGGGGAGTCACTGCATGGCTCCGTCGAGGTGATGTATAATTTATGGATAGCTTGAAAATCTTAAGTCAGAAACGTGGATGGGTGCTTAGCAGAATAAGCTGACTTTGCAGCTATTTTAATTACTGCTGTACTTAAAGCACCCATGTTAATGCCATACAAATGCCAACCAGAGTGACATAATATCAGTTTTTATGAATTTGTAAGCTTGGACCACCAGAAACTGAATTAAACCACCTAACAGATTTGTAGTTTGTTTAAGCGGACATTGGCCCAACCAATGGAATTTTGAATGGACTCGTTTTTACAAGTATTGTTCAAGCTTGGTGACACTAGTGGAAGAAAAAGTACACACTTCACTTTGAATGTCAGATCTTTGGTGCCTGAGTTAACAGAATGACCCTTCAAGCTGCCAAATCTGAACTTGCCCTTGGAAAAGACCATCCCTTTTCACCCCTTTGAACTCTATGACAACCAGCGATTACTTTGAGCTTTTAGTGTAATTGGCTTGTTTCTGCAGGTTTGGATGACGAATTTACTTAACCCAGTGGATGTGTGGAACAATCGTATCACATGCGGTCTCATTGTAGAGCAAGCACACTCAAAACTGCCAATATAAACCACAAAGTTCACGAGCATGTGTTAAAATCGATAAGGGTTGCATGACCTTGCCATGGATAGAAAAAGAGGATTAGGGAAGGACAACTTCCAAACCCTGTCAAAGTCTCATTTTACAAAATATCTACCACACAAAAGCCTAAGCAGATGGCCTGACTTGGAGATTAAGATCAAATTATGGAGTCTTTTACAAAGACCTCACTTAAAGAAGAACCTCACAGTCTTTAAGGAGGACCTAATTAAAAGAGACCTTAATCCGAGCCTCTCATCAAAGATGAGAATAAGTCTTAGGCCTAAACATACACTACGCAAGAGTGTCTAGTCCTGCTTCTGGAGGGCTAATGGCCTATTAAGTTTAGTTCCAACTTGCCAACATACTTGCCTGTAAGTTTCTAGATCTGTATATCAAAGTGCCTTTTTACCCTCATTTACTATTTCCTACATTACTCTACTAATATAGTGCAATGAATGAGTGAATGAAAACCAGTGAGCGATTTCACACCTCGAGTCCACCAGAAGTGCTGTGAAACACCATCTTCTAGCTAGATGTGGAAATTAATTTGGTGTGGCGCTCACGGTATTTGGGTATTCTAGTGGCTAGCCGTTGAGTGTACATCGGTTATACTATTGACGTGCATTATGGGATTTAATGAGTGCATTTAATAATGTCCACTATGGTATCGGACAACGGCAAATGGCCGTCACCTCAAATAGTGCATTATGTAAATGTATAGGGGGCATACACAGCCTAGTATTCCAGAAGACTTTGATTAGTTGCACCTGGTGTATTTAATTAGGATTAGAGCAAAACTGTGCAGGACAGTTGCCCTCCAGGAGCAGGATTGGACACCCCTGGACTATGCAATTATGTGTACGTGCTTCAACTCATTTTTAAACATTGTGATGTTCTAAAATATGCTTGTATGAAGTTCATTATGCAACCAAGTACGCATGGCATTCTCAGCATTGTTGCAAAGCGTAATCTTCGGTTTTCCAGGTCATCCAAATGCAAAATTGAGCACTCATGAGCAAAGATGGCTGATTTCAAATTGCATTGGAAGTCCTGCGCCAGCTGAGAGACTGTAATTGAGATCGATGAGAATGCTAACGCATAGCTTACTTCAAGTATTACTTTTATACCTTTAAGCCACAAGCCGGGTTTTATGAGTATAGGCTCTTCCAATATTTCTGAAAATGATAAAACAAGCACAGACTTGGCTAAAACATACCCAAAAGCTTGACAGCAGTTTGAGCACAGATGCTCTGGGCCATTTCGCTACTTCCCCTGCCTGACTGCTGTGTTTACTGTGGTGATGAGGTGATGATTATAAATACTATTCAGCAGTTTGTGCTGTTAACAGGACCAGTTACGACCCATTGTCCCAGGACGCCGAAATGTACGAGCCCGGGAGGCCAGTAAACCCAGAGCCATCTAAGAGATCTGCTTCTCAGGCATGACAGGAAAAGCAGCTGCCCTGGAATGAGCTCAGAGCCTGGCTTCAGATCAGAGGAGCATCGACCCTGACATCACTGTAACAGTGCTTAGACTAAAACATATGAACATGGAAGGGTCCACGACTGAAGGAGTGCTTGCATACCAGAGCAAATATTCACTTAAAGCAAATCAAATGAACAGGATAGGCCCAGAAGCAAAGAAGAGATCAATTTAGAAACATGAGGAGAACAAACTATGAACCTGTAGGCGAAAGAATCAAAAAGATACCAAAAAAACAAACTTAGGGGAAAAAAAATACAGCTGTACACAGCTGTTTATTTGAACTTCTCCTTTTCCAGGGGAGAGAGTATAGAATGAGTTAAAAGTGTATTGCTACAGTCATCCCATTCTCAATGGCTCTTTCATTAGAGCTGAGTTTTGAGAGTTAGATCAGGCCATGGTGTTTTTCAGAGGGTAAGTGTGCGTCTGCCGATCAAACAAAGCAGACTGGTCAGGCGGTTGGCAGCCCTCTAGAGAGACAGATGGTCATTAGTTGGAGCAGGACAGGACAGTGAGCTACCCCTCCCCCGAGAGGGCTGGACATCACGTCTCAGAGGTCGAGTAGATAGAGCATACTGTGTTTATGCACACCTTCTCTGCAAAATCACTTCTGCAAACATGACACCACTGGGGGACCTTCATATTAGTATTGATTAAAAAAAAAAAACCTGCATGCCTTTTCCAACCCTGTGCATGCATGTCTGCAACTTTTTTCACAACTTTGTGCATAGCCGACCAGGAAGTCTAGGAATAAACTAGACAGTGACTTTTTTGTATAGTGCTTTCAGATAAGCTTTTTAAACTCACATGTGTGGACTGAGCTCATAGAAGTTCCTGTTGCGATACTCCTCCACTTTTTCTGCTGTGTAGATGGGCAGGGACTTGTAGGGGTTCATTGAGATCACCACACTGCCAATGTATGTCTGTGGAGGAGAGCGAAAGAAGCAATGAACCACCGATCAACACACAAGAAAACACATGAAATGAGATAGGCCTATAACATAACCAGTCATATATTCGGTCTACAGCAGTGGTTCCCAATCCTGGTCCTGGAGAAACCAAACACTGCACCTTTTAGATGTCTCCCTAATCAAACACACCTGATTCAACTCATCAGCTCATTAGTAAAGACTCCAAGACCTCAAATCTGTGTGTCAGATAAGAGAGACATCAAAAATGTGCAGTGTTGGTGGTTCTCCAGGACCAGGGTTGGGAACAACTGGTCTACAGTAGTGGTAATACTGAGCATACAAGCAAATTCTGGTACCCAAGTGTTGACACCGCAGACTGTATATGCATCACCAAGCCAGTCACTATGAAAAGAATGGTGCGTTCCTATCATGAAAATGATGGTAATTGTGAAATTTCACTTGTACTGGTATCGAGACATCCCTAAAGGACACTGCACTGTATTCATACTTGTCAAATCTAGTTCATGATCCCCTGCTGTGAGGCACAGGCATCAAGCACATTCTCTGCCTCATTCTGTTGTAGGAACATGGCGGCAGCAGTATAGGGGAGTAGAGCTACAATATGCCTCCATCTGCACAATCCAGATGGGAATTCCTGGGTATTGTTCAGACAGGCGGGGGGCCCGCAAGGAACCAAACAAGAGAGCACAAACAAAAATGTTCGGAATCCCAGGAAGCATCAACAACACAGGGTGGTCAAAAGTGGCCAACGAGGGCAACGGTGTCTAAAGTAGTCAGTTTCAGACTACTTAAACACACCGAATAATTTATTCCAGCTTCTCTTGCTTTTCAAATCTTTCTGCCACCAATTTTCAACCTATGACATTAAAAGCTAATCTATCTCAATGTCTCAGGGACTTCAGAACAATGACTAATTCTTGCAGTCGCCTTCTACCTTTCCTTACAGTGCGTGTTGCATAAGGCTTGTAGCCGGGGAATCTGGCCTCTCCCATGGCAACACAGCCCACAACCTATTGTCAAGTGTTCACAGGAGGCATAACGAATCCCTTAGAAGTAGAAAATAAATGTAATTGGACAGATGAAATGAAAATTAGAGAAAAAAATACCAATAAAAGCACAGGCATCACATAGGACATTTGCTAGAAGTCAACAACTGAATTTATCTTAAAAGCTTTTTGAACCAATGGCTTAATTCTTCTTTCACACAAACAGAAGAGATCTGGTATTTGTTCATTCAATGAAGAATATGGCAGAATCCTCCCATTCCCAGATGGACTTAAATACTGTTCACAATGGTGACATCTGGGCACTAGAGATGTGATGACTATGGGTGCATTAGAGCAGGACTAGGTCTGTGTAAATAATTAAATTGGCCCTTAAATGCATCTAAATGAGAGCTGGTGGACCTACATTTTGGAAGAACGGGCAACCGTGGATCAATAAAGAGCATCACTAAAAGAGTAAGCTACACAATCACATCTGTTCCTTACTACTAAATGTGCAAATACACACACAAACACATTTGTTCTTTTGTGCAGCCAATAATAATGAGCAAAGTTTAAAGATAGCAATAAATACAAGGACCTTTGTTTCATAATTCTACAGCTCTTCCGAAAATGGAACCCATTGTAACTGTTTTTGACAGAGCATTGATGAGATAAGCAGATCATTCTCTGTGATATTCATTGTAAAGTTTGATATGATGGACTTTGATGTAAGCTTCTTGGCATTTAAATAGATGATACTGAGGGTGGAGACGTTCCTAAAATATTCTCCATGAACCGCTTTTAAATAGAAGCTTAAAGGAATAGTTCAGCAGTATTTCCCCACTTTCATGTCATTCCAAACTTATTTTGTTATGTTGAACACAAAAGGAGAGGTTCTGATGAATCTTCACCCAGTTCTTTTCAATACAACAAGTAACTAATTGGGAAACAGTAGGGTTGTATTGACAACTTGATGCTTATCATGCTGTTTTGTCCTTTTAGGAGCTCAGTGAACTGTCATAATAAGGACAGGTCTGCTTTTGGCAGAAAAAAATGTGAGTGAGTAAATAACGACAGACTTATAATTTATGGTTGGTACACTTATTTTTCTTACTAACAAGAAAAATAAGTGACCAGTTTGCACAAAGTGCAATGAACATATAAATATACTGTGGTCAACATAATGTTGCTCTTGTCAACATCGTTCTGTACAATTTGGGGATTTGCATTAAATTCAAGGCTAGAGTTTGAATCACAAACTTGCAACTACTGGACATTGAGGGCTGTTGGTAGTTAAACTCTTAATTACACACTTACAACCTGCTTGTGACTAACTATATGATTTTAGACTTGTATTACTGGCCAGATTATAGCTCTGCAAAATATAAATAAAACATTTTAAGGGTCCATTTTAATGGTGCCACACAAAATGTAAATCAGCCATTAGAATGGGTCATTAAACCTTGGTATTTCCTGATACTGAATGCAAATTGTAAATCTGAACATGCTAGAGCTTTCTTTCAATTTCAGCAGGAAAAAAAAACTATTTAATGAAAATTAAGCCTATTTTTTAAGTACTAAAGGTGCTGTCACAGCAAAATTTCACTAGCAAAAAAGTCAGTTATATTGTCAAGAGTGTAGCAATGTATGAAGCACAGATCACACACAAGTCACTTTCAAACTAAGCAGCTTTCTGTTGGTCATCACAGCGAATTTGTGTGACTAACTTGTGAAATATGTGTGGTGAAAGCTTTCGCCTTCACTCGACATTTTAGATTAAGTGACTGCATCTTAAGTGTGAAGTAATTTCTGCAGCAGAGTGTCATTAAATTGTGTTGCAAACATAACTGACTGTTTTCACACAGGTTGCCTGAACACTCACAGTGTCTGCTATTGGTTGAACAACAGATAGCCAATTGAATTGAGGCGATTTTGCTGTGTCAGACAAACAAAACAATGTTTTAATAGTGCAACTGTGCTTGTTCATGCTCCAAGAAAGGTAGAAAATCTTCAATTCTCCTTGATATCCATTCACTTTTGCATATTCTGATTCATTAAACAACTATTTACACATCAAATGGACCCATTTCATAGGCTGGTTTGGTATGCGACAGCTTTCAAAACCGAGCCCAAATGAATGGGAAAGACATAAGAACAGGGACAGAACAATGAGAGTGCTATGATTTACACTGTGCTCCTCTCTACACTCCCATTTATAATTTAGTGGGAACACACTCAGACTAAACTTAGATACTCTTGATGTGATGTGACTGTCTGGAGTAGTGAAAGCCTAAAATAAGACGACGACCAAGAAAAGGAAACAGCAACTGTTGCATGATGTTCTCAGCATAAATATAAGCAATACTTACATAGATCTCGTTGTGATCGAATCGCTTCTTTAGATTCTCAATGAAGGTGTCTTCTGATAGGGGCTCAATGAGGACCATATCGCCCACCCCTATCATATTGTCGAGAAGTGATGTCTTCACCTCCATTTTGGACAACACCCCCTACAGAGAAAGCAAGACAATCACATATCACAATCACAAAGTTCTGTAGGCATTGACTTAGATATGTATCTAGGTCAATGGGTTAATGTGTGTGTGTGTGTGTGTGTGTGTTTATTAATTCATACAAAATACATTAAAAATGTAATTCATACTGGCAATGGCTTGAATACAACTCTTCGATGATAAACGTTTTCAATTTTTGAATTAAAATTAATTCCGATATTTCTGTGCGGAGCAGGATTATTATTGCTAACTAAAACCATGCATTAATAAATAAATAAATACAAATTATATGAAATAAAGTAATAACAAATAAACATTTTAATTCAGAAACATTTCTCATTTGTTATTTTAAGTTGAGGTACTAAAATAAACTTAAAAACGATACACGATTGTAAAAAAAAATGACAAAACCACAAAATTGTTACAATTACACACAAAAACAAACGAGTAACTAAAAAATAAAAATATAGCGCACCTATAAGCGAGGTGTGCTGTGATTGGCCAGCTATCCAGTGCGTTGTGATTGGCCGAATACCTCAAGTGT